CTTTAGAAGCATTGACCATTTGATAATGGTGAATTAGAGCTGCACTATGATAATCTGTCCCTACACAGAATTGTTGCTCCTGCTTATGCTTTCTGGTTACCACTAATTATCCCTCTGCTGTGCTGGCAGGATAGCTCAGTGAGTTGCATATCTAGCTGCAGAGCCAGAGGTTGATACAGTAGTTTGATTTCCACTGTGCCTCTTGGGAAGATCCAGTCTGTGCAGCCTTGGGCAAGCTCAACAATCCTGGGACGCTCCCAAAAGAAGGCAATGGTAACTCACTTTTGAATAGTTTCTACCCAGCAAACCCTGGAAAGAGTCACCATATGTTAGAATTCACTGGACAGCACATAATTTAACTCACTTTTGAATAGTTTCTACCCAGCAAACCCTGGAAAGAGTCACCATATGTTAGAATTCACTGGACAGCACATAATTATTAGTTATATTATGAAAACTCATTTGTTCTTTTGGCCTAGCCTATTTTAGAAAGGCTGTTAAAAATACTAAGCCTTTTATCTTGGGCACACCTACAGAAAATTTTTGAAATTTCAAGCAGAGAAAGCCTAAGGGAAGGGGTTGTGTCTTTTAAAAATCATCTTAATAACAGTTTCCAAATACTTTAACATGAACTGTTAGGTTTCACAAGGAGAGACAAAGGTCCTCTTATTTTTGGCCAATTTTTATATAAAACAGATTCCCAAATTTGGGGGAGGCAGATAGATATTCTTGGATTATAACTCATAGGAAACCCTGAACTGTGCTGCACTAGCTAGGAAAGATGTCCACAAATATCCACAAATTGTCCTTGATGATAAAGGGTGCCTGCATATATTGGACCCTATTTTTGTTTTTAAAAAAACTGTCAACCTCAGAGAAATGTTTCACGTCTGCTCAGCACAGAAAAGACTAGCCCCCCCATTTTGATCTGCAGCAGCATTAGCAAACAAACACACGTAGGCCATGGGTTTTGCACATAAATGTTTATTTAAAATAAATCCTATAAAAGACTGGGGGCAAGTGATTGGGAAATGAAATAGTAAAACCACCCCTAGAGGATGAAGAGAAGGAAGCGGAGCTCTATAGATTTATAGATATTATGATACCTGATATAAAATATCAGGTATGAGATGTGTGCAGTGGAAGAGGAATCCACTGCTGACGGCCCAAATGAAACAGCGTCCTGCCTGCCTCCATGAGCTTTGTCTGTTTGCAAGTTCTCCAGGTACAGTACTTTCCCCATGGAAGAACCTTGTAGGCTGTTTTATTTCTTTTTATTCTTAATTTCTCCCCAATCCTCCCTGCCTTTATTTCCATCCTTGCATCTTCTGAACTGTGCTCTGAAATATGCAAAAAACATAAAGTTATCTAGGCAATTCAGAGAAAACCAATCCCCAGTCATTCAATCTAAATGGTCAGGGTGATAGGGCTGGGTTGTTGTTTATGGTCACCATCACTCCTACCACTTGCACTGTGAGGGGTAGGTAGATCATTGAAGTCACTATGATTTATTTCTCTAGAGGTTTTGTAAGATGGAATACATTCTCAAAGCTATGAGGTGCAAAATTAATTCATTAGCTGCTATGTAATACCTTCTTGCCAAGCTTGGCATCTGCTGAGTTACATTGCCTAGATTAGTGTTATACTTTTGCTCCACCAGTACAATTTACTCTTCTACAGTTTGTTCACTATCAACAAATCCAAAACTGGATGTTCCTTCTGTAACTCACCCAGCAAATGTTTGCATCATGAAAAAGCAGCAGATTAGGCACTCTTGGAGGCCTGTATTGGTAGAGGCTTCAGAGTGGCCCGCTACAGAGACCTATAGGAGGGGCTAAGGGTCATTTTACAGATTTGCCAATAGCCCGAAGAGAGGGGAGGAGTGGCCAAGAGAAATAGCTTGCACATTTTCATTATTTTATTATTATTTATCTAAAGGTTGCTACAATGAGTTTTTGAAAGCCTCATGGCAAAGTGATTAATGCAACACTACAGTGAAGATTCTGCTCATGATCTAATTTCAATCCTAAACTCAGGTAGCTGACTCAAGGTTGACCCAGCCTTCTACCTTTCCCAGCTCAGTAAACTAAATACCTAGCTTGTGGGTGGGTGTGCAATGTATAGCCTACATAATCACATTGTAATTCAATCGCGATGGCAGTTGTCCCCAACTTTTTTAATGCCAGGGACCGGTTTTGTTGAAGACCATTCTTCCAAGGACTGGGGGGGGGCTGCCACCGCCGGCGTCTGTGAATGGGGGGCATGGGGGGCATCCGTGCATGGGAGTACTTGTTATGCAGTAGAATGTTATGCCATCATTTAAAGTGCCTCTTAGGAATCCCAAATAAAGATCAGCTGTGCTAGTAGGTCTTTCCTGACATTTTCTTAGTC